CCTAGTCAGGTGATCAGGTCATATGACCAAGGATGAGGTCATATGAGGTCATGCACAGCCATGCACAGCAGGTCACCTGACCATCCAATCCTCCCAGCAGGTTCCAGCACATGCCAAGGTATACCAGCTACTTCCATGTCATAAAGGCTTAGTCATGTCTCTTGACCAACCAATGAGCTGGTGCCCTAACACCAGATTAGTATAGAGTGCAGTTTTCAGTAGCTAGTATAAGTAGTTTCCAGAAACTCCTGTATCTAGCTTATTCTGCCCCTTATTGGTTAGCATTATATGGATCCAATTATTGGTATATTAGCAGACTTGACTTGACTTAGCGGATTCTGACTTGACTTATTGTGACTGGACTGGATGGACACTGAGCTCTGATTATCATGTACTGACTTTTGATAGCTCAGCTACAGGCTGACTCCTGGCATTCCTACCAACTTTCCCCAACTTTCCCCTCTTTCCCTAGTGAGTTCTCACACACCACCCATTGGACCAATATTTTGGACACCTCTTGGGTTGGATCAACACATGGCAGGTATGGAGGTACCACTTGATATCTGTGTGGAGGTTGGGCCACCAAAATCAGAGATGGAGAATACCAGCAACAGTCAGAAAGCCTTTGTGACTGCTGTCATTGTGGGCTTGCTTCAGCAAGGCAAGACATTCAGCAGGAGGGATGTATATTTGGGGGGAGCTGGTGAGGTTGCATGGCACAATTTGCCATTGTGTTGAAAGTACTGGAGGGACTGTTTGACGAGGGCTGCCTGTTGCTGCATGTTCCAGTCTGCAGGTAGCAACAAATTGGTAAGGTATTGGTAATGAAATTCAGTTGTCTAAGTGTTGGGTGGAGGGGGTCCTGGGGATCTCCATTTCAGGCTCAGAGTTGTCAACAGCAGATTGAAGGTAGGCAGGGTACAAGAGTCCCAGGCATTGTTCATGGTCTATGTCAGGTGGGTTTGGAGCATCCAATGAATTCAGGGGACAGTGGGAGAGACCATCTGGGCCAGTATGTTTTTTGGCGGGGATGTGAATGAGATCAAAGTCAAACTGGTGTATCCCACTGACCCCTTTGTTGAGGGCTGCAGCAGGTTGCTGGTCCAGATTATTCAACATCTCTTTGATGCAGGATGCATCCACTTCAATGATAAATTGGGGGGCACCAATAAGGAATACCTGTAGTGCCCGGAGAGCTTGGTATAAGCCATAAAGTTCCAGTTTTGGTTGGGAATATCTAGATTTGACATCATTCCATGCCAAAGATCCAAAGTGGGCCGGTTTTCATTTGCCATGTGCATTGTTCTGGTATAAGACATATCCAACACTGATATTCAAAGAATCCACTGCTAAGATGATTTTGCAGTCACTTTCATAGTTGATGGGACAGAGGAGACCATCCCAGCAGGCATTTGCTTTTAGCTGGTCAAATGCTGCTTGGTGTTTGGGTCCCCAGGTGAATATTGTGCCCTTGCGCTTGAGGTGTTCCAAAGGGCATGCTTTCATAGCAAAATCCTTTATGAATATTCAGAGGATTCCGAGAGTACCCAGGAAGGCTTGAACTTTGGTGAGGGATTTGCACAGTTGCCAATCCTGTATTTTTGTGACTTTGGAAGGCTTGGGTTGTTGGCCCACATAGGTGCAACATTGCCCAGGGATGATGACTTCAGGAGCCGCAATTACCATTTTTGGACCACTGAATGTTCTGCCAGAATGTTCAATGCAGGTTAAGATCCAATTTACAGTTTCCATGTGTTCCCATATGAAACAATGGATGCCAACATTTCAGGAGTGCTGTTTAAAGTCCCCATCAGAGAGTTCATATTGTGTTGGAGGGCCGCAGATGGGGACATCATTGATGAAGGGGATCATATACTCAGGGATCTTGTTGCAGAGTAGGAAAGTGACATCTTCATGCATAATCTGGACACCATTTGTGCCTCCTATCTGATTTTGGGTGCTATGGAGGGAACCTTTGAGTGACTGGAATGTTGTGAGATCCTGACTTTCCAGATGCAGGAGGTGTTGTTTGAAGCCACAAAAGAAGTCAAAAAGTGTGTAGATGGATTGTCTGCCATAGGATTTGACAAGGGGTTCTGAAAGTGGAGGAAGGGCTGAGTCCCAAATTGTTACACCATTCAGTGGTTGCAGATCCAAAATGGGTCAAAGGGATCTGTCTTTCTTCAGGATGCAGAACCAACAGGATCAGTAGGAGGACTGGGAGGGTTCATAAATACCTGCATTTAGTTTGTCCTGCAATGCTTTCAGGACCTTTGGTAACAAAGTGGGGGGCACCGGAATATTCTTCTGTTGCCAGGGTATGTGTTTGATCATCAGAATTTGGACCAGGTCAAAATAATCACTGTGAAATAAACCTATTTCTTGTGAAGGACTGGTCCAGTCTGGTCCCATGCAGCCACCATTTTGCCACACAATTGGGTTGACAGTTTTTGCATAGCAGGGATGGTGACCAGTCATGTCATGGTGTTGGAAGAGGTTGGCATATCATCTGACTGACTGGCATGCCATATTGGGTGCATGATGACTTTTGTGTGTGCTTCCTCCTGCTCAATATCATGACCCCACACTGATTATTGAGTAGAATTATGTTAGTGGACTGGACTGGACTGGTAGCTTACAGTCCTAGGACCATCCAGGACCAGACCATCACAGGACTTGACTGGGACCAACTATTGCCAAAAATCTGGAATCATCCAGGACCGGACCAGACTGGACTGGACTGCTGCCATTCCTAGGTCTAGCAAGGTTACCACACACTAATCCCAAATAATAGATAGAGTGCTGGGGGGTCTACTGTGGTTGCGAGCAGCTCTAACCAGTAGTACTAGTCAATATCCAAGCTACCAGGGCCAGCTGGATTATTGGGGGTCCAAAGGGGGTCATGATGGGGTCCCAGGGGATGATATAAGTTGGTGATAAATAGCTGAAAAGTGTAGCAAGAGTTGTGGATTCAAGGTAAGGGCAGGGTGTTCAGGGGTGTGTAGAAGGGTCTCCAAGATGATAAGATGACTTGGGAACTGCTTGTAGACTAAGGAGTTCAGATCTGAGGGATACAGCATCACTATATTACTGCTTATATACCTTGCAGCTGCTCCCCAGAAGCCCAGGAGTCTAGGTAAATTCTAGGGACTCCTACAAGTGTCAGATAGATGTCCTAGCAACACCCTAAGGCCTCCCAAACCATTCCAATAAATTGGGGAGACTCCTACAAGTGCCATCTTGCATCCCACTACTCCCAGTAGGGGTCTCTAGCACCACTATGTGTTAGGGAACACATTGTTTTGGGGTCTTGCACCCCTTATCACATGTTCTATCCCTGCTTCTCCTTGCTTCCAGGCCTTCTCAAAGTAATCCATGAGGCCTGTGCAGGGTTGCATCATGGGTTGTGGCATGGGTGCTGTGTGGATTTCCACTGCACACAGCTTTATGGCCCTGCATGGGTTCCATGGTCTTCCATGGTGGTTCCTACCACCTCTGGCTTTTCCTACTTCTGTTCCATAGTGTTCCATAATGCCTGTACCCATGCTTACTCCTAGGCAGCTGTTCCTACTAAGACCCATCAGCCTTATGCCATGGGAGTATTTATATGGAGCCTTTAGGGCCTCTTTCTCCTCAGATCTGGTCTCTGAGGATTCTCCACCACTGTAATCCTTTAGGCACCCAATCAATACACTCTATATTGACTCTACTCCCTCCCTATAACACCCTCATTGCCCCCCATCTGTTGCTTCTAGCCCCTGCAGTAGCCTTGTTATTGTGGTGTGCCCTCACACTATGTCTCATCCCAAGTGTCTGGACACAGTAGTCTTGTGGTATCCTCTTCATAATGCCTTGTGTGGCCACTGCCATTGAACTAAGGCAGCTACCAGCAAAGGAAATTCCAGGGGCTTGTTATTCTATTGCTTTTAGGGCAAAATGGCTGGCCAGGGGTGGTAACAGGCAGTGCCATGACAATATCCCTTGGACCTGGCCCCAGAGAAGGCAGACCCCATTCACCACTCCGGAGGCTGAAACGCTCGGTTGTGCAGGTCCGGCTATGTGTTTGTGTACAGAACCGTACGCAATTGCCTTTTTCTCTATGACCCGTCCGCCTACAATCCGCCTATAAATCAAAATATATGGTGGCACGGCTCGTGCTCCCAGCTTCGCCTAGAGCATGTACCTTCTTTGCATGTCAGCCCAATACACGTAGCCCGACAGAACTGAATTTCTGCGGAAGGGCGCGTCATAATTGATACAGTCCATTCTCCCGTGTCTGAATGATGCTGCTCATCTTGCCCGAAATTGCTTCGTAATGTCCTCTTGTTCTATATCAGTCGTATAGGCTGTATCGGATAGTCCTCTGGCGGTTGTAACCGGAAAGCCGGACAGACTTCGGGAAACATGGGTATATATGTTGCTAGAGAAGAGTAGTTATGGTGAAAAAGTGTCTTCTCCGCACAATGTCCACTTTCGAGCCAGATGCGCAAGCAGTACTGAAATCGACAGGAAGCACTGTAGAATCATTTGAAGTTCCGTACCTCGCTCTCGACGATCGAAGGCATGAGTCCTTTTCTGAGGTGCAGAAAGAGGATGAACATGTCATTCCGGACGGGGGGTTGAGAGCCTGGTTGACTGGTGAGTATGTCACATAATGTCTTCATCACGATGCTAAGGACCACCAGTTGCCGGGTCTTCCCTAGTCCTCATGTGTACCTTTGGGTAACCCAGTCATCAATTATACTTCTGCGCTCTGATGACCTCTCTTCTCTAGATACGGAAATAGTTTTGGAGTATTTCAAGCCGCCTATGTCCAAGAGTTCCTTCCCAACCACTCGGCTTCGGAGATCGCATGGATCGGCACCATACAGCTCTTCCTCCTCTTCGGCATGGGTATTCCCTGTGGAATGCTATTCGATGCCCGCAAATTCCATTGGATGACCATTTCTGGCAGCGTGCTCCTGGTTTCCTGTTGCTTCGCACTGAGCGCCGCCCAGCCAGGACAATATTATCAGGTGCGCGCAAGAGTCAGCGCATGCCAGTCGTTTTCTGAGAATGGACCAGTTTTTCCTCGCGCAGGGACTAGGGCAGGGGATCGGAATGGGACTCCTATACCTTCCCGCTGTTGCTGTGCTGTCGCACCACTTTGAGAAACGGCGAGCGTTAGCAAGTGGGTTTGTGTTCATGGGTTCCGGTGTGGGGTGAGTTCATCCAGAACCGCCGTCGCACGCGTACTGACGTGCAGCAGCGGCGTTATCTTCCCCAGTAAGTGGGCATCTATGCTGCCTCATTACTTACCAATGGATGCAGTCTTGATTAACAACGTCTCCCAATCACACGGCTTCGTTACCTCCGTGCGAGCAACAGGCTACGTGCTCCTTGGCGGGCTAGCGCTGGCCAACCTGCTCATGCGTCCTCATTATAACCCCTCGCACAAGGCCGTACCCCGACCAAAAATGAAGAAATTGCTAACAGATCGGCCGTATCTCTTCGGCTCGATCAGTGCGTGCTGCGCCGGGTTTGGAATCTGTGAGCCTTATCCATCCGCTGGAGGATGGAAGATGATGCTGATTCCTTCTGCTAGTCTTCCCATGTCAGTCCTTAGTCAGAGACAGATACGCATGCCTAATAAGCTCCAGTCTTCTATATCCAGCTGTTCTCTATCACCCTCGGTCTGGATCAGAACTTCAGTTTCTACACAGTGAGCTCTCCTCTCAATCCCACAAGTCAGTCGTGAACTCGTCATAGATATCAATAATAAACGCTTCCTCCGCCTTCGGCCGGTCTGTTCCCCCCTCCCCGAATACCTGAACATGCTAACGTCCGTTAGGTTCGTACCCGCCCTCGTCGCAGACCGATTCGGGCCCGTCACCTCCCAAGCCCCGAGCATCATCATTAGCTCCGGCCTCACCTTCGTCCTCCTAGGTATCAAGACTCAGTCGGGGGTGATCGCCTTCTGCATCCTGTACGGGTTCTTTTCCGGGGCGGGTACGTCGTTGCGTGTGAGCATGTTCAGGGACTCACGGTAAGGGCAAGTGGTCAGCATGTTCCCACCCATAGTCGCTCTCATGGCAGATACCATGGCAGAAGTCGGGTAAACCAATCCCTCTCCATTCCTTACAACTACCGCTAATCGCGCACAGGATACGCATGGGCGTGGCATTCTTCGTCTTCTCCCTAGCGTGCCTTACGGGCAACCCGATAGTAGGCGCTCTGATCGGTTACGGACCTTACGATTGGTGGAGAGGGATCGTTTTCTCTGGGGCACGTTCTGCCGCACATTCTCCCGCGTGCGAGTGTGACTTACTTGTGGCAGATATGCCTTGGCTGTTCGGGGGGGTTCACACTCGTGTCTAGGTGGTTCTTGCAGCAGAAGAAAGGGGTCAAGTGGGTGTAGACTATTGGGGCTGAGAGCATGGTTGGAAGGGAAGTGTGTGTGCTAGCAGGGCTGGATGGTTGTCCGCCCACAGTGATCCGAATGAGTATAATAGATATTTACTATGCCCTGTAACCTTGATAATTGTATTGACTACATAGTGATCCACATCTCTTATTCTGTGAGAAGGTCACTTCCAGAATTTCGACTGAATAAAGAAAGCATGTGCAGAACCTCCTGGACCGGCATATTGGTGAGAGTGACAGCAAGAGCCTGCAAAACCGTTTCATCCTCTGCATTTTTGGTGCTTTTGGCGCGGGATTTTGGTGGATCCAGCATGACTTCCAGTTTCTCCAATTCATCCACTCCTATGCCAGCAAAGTTTGCAGTGCTGTGATGTACATGCTGGTGGGTGTGTCAGGCTGACATTCCCATGGTTATTTGGACCCTTGGAGACAGTTGCATGGCACTATGGACCCCCACAATGAGAATGATGGGCCCTGCAATGGGTCTGGCCCCTCTGGATATTTGGCATGCCAACTACTGGTTTCCCCTGCAACAAGATCGACCCACCCAGATATTTGGCATGCCAACCTCTGCCTTGGTGAGGTATCTAGACACCAGGATAGTATTGAGCACAGCCTAGAGTGGCCAGTATAAGTAGTTTCCAGAAACTCCTGTACTTAGCTTATCTGCCCCTTTTCCATTAGCATTTATATGGATCCAATTATTTGTATACTGACAGACTCAACTTAGCATATTCAGCTTGACTTATCATGCTTGACTGGACTGAGACTGACCTCCAATTTACTGACCAACTTCCATACCTGCAACTTTACTGACTTTTCCCCCTCTTTCCCCTGTGAGTTCTTGCACACCTCCTATTGGACCAATATATTGGGACCTCCAATATTTTGGACACCTCTTGGGTTAGATCAGCATGTGCCCAGATTCTCTTTCTTGGCTTCTGGGGTGTAGACTTCTGGGAGTTTTACTAATTTACCTGTCAATGTCATCTGCTTTTTCTTGAGTCATTCCACCTTGGCCATGAGTACCTTGATCTCTTCATCATTCCATTCTACCATGTCATCCTGATTTTCAGCCAGGATGTGTACTACCAAATGATCTACCATTACCTCAAATTTGGAGTCCAAGCCAACATCCTTGATGATTATGTTGTGGAAGGCAATGAGAGGGGTTGATTGCTGTTTGGGCCATTTTTCCGGATGGTCCTTGTAATAGCTGTCTACTTGTTCCTTGAGGTCATGACCTGGCCAATGACAGAGAATAAGTTGGCAGCCAGCAAGGACATGGAAGGGGCCATCTTTCTCAATGAGGCCTTCTTCCAAATACTTGCAGGCCCCAGGGCATGTTGTGATCTTGTCTGTGCAACCTGTAGATGGTCCATCGAAGTGACAAAGTGGGTTTCCACTATTATGTGGGCCATATCCATTTTGATTTGGGTAGTTCTCTGCAGGTACAGGAACCTGATTTGCACCTGTTGCTGGTGTGTTGTTGCCATATGTCTTTCAGGAGGTTTGTCCATAAGAATTTTGTGGAGTGGCCAGTTGGTTCTGCTGGGTAGACTTTTGGTTCTGCATCAAGGTGTATATCTGGGACACCATTCCTTCCAGCTGGGCCATGCATCTGCTGAAGTTGGTGACCTGTGGGTTATATTCTGGTTTAACATTGTCCAGTACTGGCAGAGGTGCTGCTTCCTGTGAATAATTGGGGGATGGAATGCAGACCTTCATAGTGGTATTGCCTAGTGCCCATTCTTCTGTCTCCTTTAATTCAACCATTGTCCAAGGTTCATCCACTGCTCTGTCATATTCCATTCAAGCTGGTCACCATCTTGTCCCAGAGATGGCTTTCATTGGGTAGGAATTTGAGTACACAGAGGAGTGCTTTTTGCAGGTCAAGGATGGAAATTTGGTTATGGGAAATGAGCCAGGTGGTGATCAAGTAAAAGTCCCTGTAGAAATCAGCAAATTCACCTTTGGTTGTAATGTGGTACCTCCATTTCTGAATGAGGTTGTCCATGTCCTGAGTTGCATATTGATGTTCATTATTTGCTGCACCAGGGTAGTACTTCAGTATGTCAGTCTTGAAATCCAGGTATGAATCCTTCTTTGTGGTGTCCATTCTGTCATGGATTTGAGTCCACAATTTGTAGGTGTATTCATCAGTGTAAAATCGGGCCCAGTTGATTCTAGCCAGTCCTTCAGTAATGGCTGGTTCACACAGGCCAAAGAGTTTTTCCAGAGCCAAAAATAATGAGTGATGCCAAGAGGTGTAGGAGAAAAGCGGGGGGCCAAAGTAGACTCCCTGCCTGTAGGCATTGCATATTTGCTTGCCATGAGGAGCCATCAGACTACATCCACTAAATCGGAGGTATTCCTGTTGGAAGAGGACAATGATACTTCTGTGTGGTCCAAAATTGTTGATGTTTTTCTAAGCATGGTCCTTTGGGTGTGCCATTTGTCCCTGAGCTGATCTTGCTGGTTTTTAGTGGAGATAGATACCAGAATGTGGGAAGCCAGTATCAGAAGTCAGAGGAGGAGTTCTCACCTTGGCAGCTCTTAATTGATAAAAGCTGCCTCACATTGGGCTCCAAATATAATCCAACCCAAAAGGTGTCCAAAATATCAGGGGTCCAAATAGGTTGGTCTGATGGGTGGTGTGCAAGAACTCGCTAGGGAAAGAGGGGAGAGGGGGAAAGTCAGTAAGAACATGGGAATCAGGCTGTAGCTGAGCTATTGAAAGTTGGTATGCAATAATTGGAGCTCAGTGTCCATCCAGTCAAGTCATGATAAGTCCAGTCAAATCCACTAAGTCAAGTCCAGTATGCCAGTATACCAATAATTGAATCCATATAACTCTAACAGAAAAGGGGCAGAATAAGCTAGATACAGGAGTTTCTGGAAACTACTTATACTAGCTACTCTAAACCATACTCAATACTAATCTGGTCTCTAGATACCTCTCCAGATGTTGGCATGCCAAATATCCATATGGGTCAATCCTGTTGCAGAGGAAACCTGTAGTTGTCATGCCGAATATCCAGAGAGTCAAGACTTGTTGCTAGGGTGCATTGTCCTGCATAGTGAGGGTCTGTAATGCTGCACAATGGTCTCTAAAGCCCAAAAATGACCATGAGAATACCAGCCTGACACACCCCACCAGAGGTGGGGTTGTTCATCCCCCCCAAACCTTGAATACTGACTCCCCAAGTCAGTGGGGATGCAGGTGATGCAATGCACAGTCAGGAATGTGGTGCGGTACCACTGAATATGTCATGAAGCAAGAGCAGTGTTATCAAGGACCAATTGTGAGGCTCTCCATGGTAAGACATTGGGCCACATATCAGGGTGCTGGTAAAATGGTGGTGTTGACTATTTGGTGAGGGGTGTATCAGAGGGCATTGCTGTGCATTTGTGTTAGGGCAACACAGGCTGACTAAGTCTGCTCACCTAAGAGTGCCAAGAGTCTAAGCAGGCAACAAGGAAGTGGAGTAGACCTGATGACTAAGACCTATCTACAGTATAGGTACCTGTGGATGATCCTAAGAGACCAAGTCTGAAGAGACAGTCCCAGGCAGAGTAGGCCTTATATTTATACCTCTGTGGTGGAACCTGCTAGAACATCTTGCTTACTCAGCCTAGTCAGGTGATCAGGTCATATGACCAAGGATGAGGTCATA